CTTCCATCGGCAGTGCTAGTCAGCGTAGCACTGCTAAGCCTATAAGGATGCTGCAGCTTTTTCCTCCCAAGGTGGAGAACTTTGCTTTTTTTCGGTATTAAACACCATCAGGTTCTCGTCCGCCCATTTCATGAGCCTGTCCAGGTCAGCCTGTATCGCCCTCCTGTCCTCAGGTGCGGATGCTTTGCCCCACAGTTTGGTATCGTTGGCAAACTTGGCCAGTCTGCTTCTGACTCCAATGTCCACATCATTAATGAAGATGTTGAACAATACAGGTCCAAGGACAGAGCCTTGGGGGACCCCCCTGGTCACAGGGCACCATGACGATTGACTTCCATCAACCACCACCCTCTGGGTCTGACCACGGAGCCAATTCCCCAGCCAGCAGATCGTGGTGGTACCAAGACTGCAGTTGGCCAGTTTTGCCAAGAGGTGATCATGGGATATATGACATCAATTTCCTCTCCCTTGTCCAGGTGATAGGTCACCTGGTTGTAAAAGGAAATAAGATTGGTCAAGCAAGACCTACCTGCAACAAACCCGTGCTGGCTATCCCTCAGGATGTTGCCGTCGGCCAGTCTGTTAAGAATGGCCTCTTTAATAATCTTTTCTAAGACCTTGCCCGGGATAGAAGTCAGGCTGATGGGCCTGTAGTTTGCTGGATCTGCTTTCCTCCCTTTCTTGAAGATAGGCACCACATTGGCCTTCTTCCAGTCTTTGGACCTGGTACTGGCAACGGGGGATGACCTTATCAGTGACCTAATGATCAAAGGGAAGCTGGGTGACAGTGACCATGAGCCGATCACCTTCACCATCCACCATAAAGCTGGCAAGTCAGTCAACAATACAGAAGTCCTTGACTTCAGGAAAGCTGACTTTGACAAGCTCAGGAGGCTTGTCAGGGAGGCCCTAAAGGGCCTCAGCCCAAAGGGGAGGAGAGCTCAGGATGAGTGGTTGCTCCTCAAGGGAGCGATCCTCGATGTACAAGCAAAGTCTATCCCATCTCAGAAGAAAGGCAGCAAAAGGGCACAGCAGCCCCCCTGGCTCTCCAGGGACCTAGCAGACCTCCTGCATCTAAAAACAAAGGCCTACAATGGATGGAGGATGGGATCCACCTCCAAGGAGGAATAATCTGCACTGGTCCGGTCCTGCAGGGAGCAAAGCAGGAAAGTCAAGGCTGTAATAGAACTCCAACTGGCTATAAGTATCAAGGACAATAAAAAGTCCTTTTGTAGGTATGTGGGGAGCCGGAGGAAAAACAAGGGCAACATTGGACCCCTGCTGAAGCAGATGGGACAACTGACAACTGACACCCAGGAAAGAGCCAACTTGCTAAATGGGTACTTTGCATTGGTCTTTTACCAGTCCCAAGGGATACCCCTGCCCATTACAGGACAGGAAGGCCTGGGTGAGAGAGATTCCTTACCTTCCATCAATGTTGACCTTGTGAAGGAACACCCTGAGAGGCTGGATACCTTCAACTTAGCCGGCCCTGACAGCTTACACCTCTGGATACTCATAGAGCTGGCAGACATCATAGCCCAGCCCCTGGCACGGATCTTCGAGAGCTCCTGGTGCTCCGGTGAAGTGCTCAAAGATTGGAAGAAGGCCAATGTGGTGCTTATCTTCAAGAAAGGGAGGAAAGTGGATCCAGCAAACTACAGGCCCATCAGCTTGACCTCTATCTCGGGGAAGGTCTTAGAAAAGATGATCAAAGAGGCCATTCTCAACAGACTGGCCGATGGCAACATTCTGAGGGATAGCCAGCACGGGTTTGTTGCAGGTAGCTCTTGCTTGACCAATCTCATTTCCTTTTATGAGCAGGTGACCTATCACCTGGACAAGGGAGAAGAGATTGATGTCATATATCTTGACTTTAAAAAAGCCTTGGATCTGGTATCCCATGATCACCTCTTGGCAAAACTGGCCACCTGCGGCCTCGGCTTCTCCACGACCTGCTGGCTGGGGAATTGGCTCCGTGGTCGGACCCAGAGGGTGGTGGTTGATGAAAGTCAATCATCGTGGTGCACTGTGACTAGTGGGTTCCCTCAAGGCTCTGTCCTTGGGCCTATACTATTCAACATCTTCATTAATGATGTGGACATTGGAGTCAGAAGCGGACTGGCCAAGTTCGCTGACGACACCAAATTGTGGGGTAAAGCGTCCACACCGAAGGACAGGAGGGCAATCCAGTTTGACCTTAACAGGCTCAAGAAACGGGTGGATGAGAACCTGATGGTGTTTAACAGAAAGAAATGCAAGGTTCTCCACCTTGGGAGGAAAAACCTGCAGCATGCTTATAGGCTCGGCAGTGCTACGCTGGCTAGCACTTCAGACAAAAGGGACTTGGGAGTCATGATTGACCACAAGATGAACATGAGCCTTCAGTGTGATGCTTCGGCCAGTAAAGTAAGAAAAACGCTGGCTTGCATCCATAGATGCTTCTCAAGCAAATCCTAGGACGTCATTTTCCCACTGTACTCGGCCTTGGTGAGGCTGCAGCTGGAGTACTGCGTCCAGGTTTGGGCTCCACAAATAAAAAAAGATGTGGAGAAGCTTGAGAGAGTCCAGAGAAGAGCCACGCGCGTGATCAGAGGTCAGGAAAATGGATCTTACAATGAGAGGCTGAGAGCTATGGGACTCTTCAGCCTGGAAAAGCACTGGCTCATGGTTGATCTGGTGGCTTCCTAAAAGTTTATAAGGGGTGTTCACCAGGATCTGGGGGAACGTCTGTTCACCAGAGCGCCCCAGGGGATGACAAGGTCAAATGGTCACAAACTCCTCTGTGACTGATTCAGGCTGGACATAAGGAACAACTACTCTCCGAGCCCCCAAGGTTTGGAATAGACTGCCGCCAGAGGTGGTTCAAGTACCTACATTGAATGCCTTCAAGAGACATTTGGATGTCTATCTTGCTGGGATCCTATGACCTCTTTGGGCAGGGGGCTGGACTCGATGATCTTCCGAGGTCCCTTTCAGCCCTAATGTCTATGCCTATGAAAACCAGGAAATCTGTGGTTTTCTCGGTTTTTCCATGGGAAATGGAAAACCTGGATACCTGCTGATTAGCACCCACTCATGCGACTTCCATGATGTAATCATTATGTGATCCTATCAGAGTGCTGGCTGTGGTACCAATCATTCATTGGTTTGCACTCAAGTCAAATAGCATCCCAGGAAATCGTACAAGAGCAAGATACTCTCCTTACTACGACTAAATGTCACATGACTGAAAGCTGAAGACACGTCATCTCAATTCATTAAAACTCTCTCTGGGCCTCTATCATCTCTTAAGCTGTGACATGTAATACTGCTGAAGAGAAATGGGTTCACCTCAAAGGAGCCATCTATCAAACTGCCTTGGACTCTTGTGGTACCTTGCATCGCAGCTTAAATGATTGGTTTGATGAGAACTCATCTGAAATGATCCCACTCATAGAAAAGAGATAGTCAGCTCTTCTGAAATATGTGTGACCTTAGCCACTGCAACTGGCAGGCTCTTCGAGAAATCTGGCAAAAGGTCAAATGTACAGTGAGGCGGTGTGCCAATGATTATTGACCACAACTGTGCAAAAGTATCCAAAAAGATGACTGAGGTCATGTGCAAGCAGCTTATGGTGGCATCAGGAAAGTTCTTGGGCCTGTTCTGAGGAAGACCACCCCTTTAAAATCCTCCGCAGGCAAAGTCATCAATGACCACAATAAGCAGATGGACTGATGGGCTGAACATTACTCAGAACTCTACCCTCATGAAAATGTGGTCAGTGACTTCATTCTCAATGTACTTGCAGACCTCTCAACCCTGACAGTGCTTGACCACGATCCTACCATACACGTAGTAGAAAAAGCCATTGATCAGCTTGTTTGTCATAAAGCCCCTGGTGTAGACTGCATACTGGCTGGAGATAAGTGCAGGAAATCCATCCTCCTCTTCCACCTGCATGAATTAGTAGGTCGGTATTGAAAAGAAGGTGAAGTTCCTCAAGACAGGAAGGAAGCAAGCATAGTCACTCCATGCAGAAACAAAGGTGATAGGAGTGACTGCAGTAACTATCATGGTATATCCTTACTTTGCAGCATTGGGAAGCTGTTCACCAAAGTCACCCTGCTTCAACTGCAGACCCTGGCAGACAGAGTTTACCGTGAGTCTCAATGTGATTTCAGATGTTGTAGATCAACGATGGATATGATATTCTCCTTGAGACAGCTACAAGAAAAGTGCTGTAAACAAAGGAAATCTTTGTACATAGCATTTCTCAATCTCACCAAAACTTTTGATCTTGTCAGCAGAGATGGTTTGTTCATATCCTGAAGAAGATTGGCTGGCCCCCTAAGCTCCTGAGCATCATCAAGTCCTTCCACATCAGTATGCATGGAACAGTGCTGCTTGATGGGTCACATTTGGAAGAATACGAAATCAAGAGGGGTGTCAAACAGGGCTGTGTCCTAGCTCCGACACTTTTTGGCATTTTCTTCACTGTCCTGCTCAAATATGCATTCAGTGTCTGTTCAGAAGGAGTATAACTTCAGACCAGATCCAACGGGAAATTCTTTGACCTTGTTCATCTCAAACAGAAAATGAAATCCTGAGACGTTCTTGTCAGTGAAATGATGCCGTAATTGTTAGTCATTCAGAAGCAGGACTGAAAAGTCTCATGGATCGCTTTTCTCGTACTTGTGATGATTTCAGTCTGACCACTAGCCTGAAGAAGACAGTAGTCATGGGTCAAGAAACTGACCGCCCTCTTTAAGTTAGAATAAATGATGAAAGCCTGGAAGTGGTTAAAAAATTCACTTACTTGGGCTCCACTATCTCACTAAATCTTGGCTTGGAAGCCAAAATTAATGCTTGCATTGGAAAGGCAAGCAACACTTTGGCTAACCTTAAAAAGAGAGTTTGGAAAAACAGAGCACTCACTCTGCCAACAAAGATGTCTGTCTTCAGTGCTTGCATACTTAGCTCTCTATTGTATGAAAGGCAGTGAAACATGGACTCCTTATGCTAAGCCAAGATACTCAGTATGTCTGTGTGCCTGAGACAAAGACCCCTCCATTGGTTTGAACATGTGAATCGTATGCGTGATGGCCAAATCGCCAGGGACTTTGTGGTGAGCTGGCCAGTCTGTGGTCACTGGCAAACATCAGCAGATAGAGAAGAGGCATCAGAGGGAGGCGAGACAAGATGGTACTTGGCATGCCAGCACAAGCTCACCCAAGTTTGTATGTGCAACGTGCCAGAGGGTCTGCTCATCATGCATTGGACTCTTCAGCCACTCAAGAAGCTGTGGTGGTTCCTGGTAAGCCACTGAAGGTGCAATTTCCATGGTTTCCTGAGACCAATGGCTGCCAATGATGAGTCTTATGCTCGGTCCTTAGCTCCTGTCATCATGGTGTTCCAGATACTGAGCGTGTCTGAGGCCTGCACAGGCCCCACAGTGCTGTCACAGGAGGAGCCACAGGAGAAGCAGGGAGTTGATTCCAGCTCTTGTGAGGTTGAGTGAGCACCTGCCCCAGTGCAGCCTGGGTGCTGGGGTCCAGGGAGATGCACAGGGATGCGATGGGCCAGGCTGCAGCTACCAGGGGGACTGGGGTGGGATGGGAGCTGGCTGTGCCCTGAGAGCAGGCCCATGTGTTGTTGGACTCAGTCTCTGCAGCTAGCCTGGGCTCTTCTGGCCACACCGTGTGGCACATTGGCCATGCAGCACACCAACCCTAGCAGGTGAGGTAGGGGCCGTCTTGGCCTGAAGTTGGGTTAGTGCTGAGCAAAGCCCTGACCACTGCAGGTGATGTGGGAGGCCAAGATGCTGAAGGAGGTGCTGGGGCTCCAGGTTCATGAGGTCTTTGTCAGCTACCTGCCCCTGAGCCACGTTGCTGCACAGCTCTTCGACCTCTGGCTGCCCATGTGCGTGGGGGGCACCACCTTCTTCGCCCAGCCCAACGCCCTGAAGGTAATGGGGACCCGGCTGCGGGTGGTGGTGGGAGGGTGCAGGGGGTGGTGGGCACAGAGTCAGCAGCCCCTGTCGGACCTCCCAGTTGATCCCTGCCCAGTCAGGGCCCCCAAGGCCAAGGGCTGCAGTCTCAGCAGCAGCTCTGGGGAGATGACCTGCTGCTGCCTGGGATGTCTCTCTTACTTCTTCCCTCTCCTCTCCCCCACTCCCCAGTTATCTTCCATCACTCCTGCCCTCCTCCAGGTCTGGCCCTGCCCCCAGGACTCAAAGGTCCCACATGAACTGTGCCAGACAAACTGCATTGGAAGCTCAGGTGGGATGATCTAGGAGATCCCTTCCCCCATGAGGTTGGAGCTGCTGGTTTCTTGGGCTGGCCAGGAGTCTGGGGGGCAGCATGTGATGTGCCCTCCTGCCTTGCCATGCAGCCTCCTACCCCAGTCCCTATCTTTCATCCTGCCAGTGCCCCTGCGAGTGTGAGGGTCTCCCCAGACTCAGGGCTTTGCAGCTCCATGTAGCAGCTCTAGGCCAGAGGGTCCAGCATCCTGCCTTCGCTGGCAGCCATTTGTTGTCCAAGGAGTCTGCAGGGGCGCAAGCAGCTGAAGCCTTCCTGGGGGAAATTCCTTCCTGGCTTCTGCAACCACCCACGGGAGCCCTGATGCCCCTGCAGACAGTGCTTCTCTTCCAGCCCTTGCACAAGGATAGCACCTAGTCCAAGCTCCGTGCCATGCACTGGTTATTGCTCCCAGTTCTCTGCCACTACCCCTGCCAAAGCTGCACTATATCCTTCCTGAAGCCGTTCAGAGCCTTGCCCAGCCCCCCTCTGTTCAAGCCCCATTCCAAAGCAACACTTCTCTGATCACTAGAAAACGTCTTCCTCTCTTCATGTTCAATTTGTTTCTGACCAGTTTGTACTTGTTCCCCCCTGAGCCTGTGCTGCTCTTTCACTATCTGACTCTTT